AAAAAAAAAAAAAAAAAAAAAAAAGAAATAGGGTCAGAAACCTTACCTGGCTTTCCCCTTTCTTATATTCCAGAGAAGAATCCAGCAGTACAATGCGAGGGTTCTTGATATAGCGCCGCATTCGTGGATGGGTCACATCTTTGTTAATCATGACTCCACGTAAGACACATGAGTCTTCAATGATGCCCCCAGGTATCTGAGCAAAAGACAATACACATTTTATTCCGCAACCAAGAGGAGATGGTTTTTCGACTCCCGTCTCAGATGTTCATCTTTCCCAAATGACCACTATTTCAAGTTTTTAAAGTACCTTTCTTCCACAAAACTAAAAACATGGTTGCAACCACTTTCTTTTTCCTCCTCTAGGAAGCATATCAATCTCGGACCATTGGCTATTGCCTTACTAGACTCTGGTGTGGCCATGTACTCTTTGAGCTATGGCCATTACCATGTTTTCTAAGTTTTGGCCCCCTCTCCTGTCTTGGTGAGGTGAATCTCTCTCTAATTTACTTTCTAAATAAACTATATTTTTTCTTTTTTGAGTCAGAGTATTACTCTGTCACCCAGGTCAGAGTGCAGTGGCATGCCCACAGCCACTGCAGCATCGATTTGCTGGGCTCAGGTGATCCTTCTGCCTCAGCCTTCCAAGTAGCTGCAACTACAAGCATGCACCACAATGCCTGGCTAATTTTTTGATTTATTATAGTGATGAGGTCTTGTCAAGTTACCCAGGCTGGTCTTGAACCCCTGGACTCAGGCAATCCTCTTGCCTTCGCCTCCCAAAGTGCTGGAATTAGAGGCATGAGCCACTGCTCCTCACAACAAAAGAATTGAAGAGGTTTATAAGCCAGGTGCAGTGGTTTCTGCCTGAAGGTCCAGCTACTCAGGATGCTGAGGCCAGGAGGGTCGCTTGAGGCCAGTTCGAGGTTAGCCTAAGCAACATAGTGAGGCCCAGCCTCTACCAAAAAATAAATAAATAAATAACATGGGCTCAGACCTCTCCTACTTCCCTAAAGATATTCCCAAAGAATTTTAAGCTTGGTGCTCCATCTACTGGCCATAAGCTATAACTTACATTTGGATCTTTCATAGAGAAACGGGAGAGAGTTTTCTGGAGCTTACTAGCATTATACAATTGAGTCCCTTGTTAAGTTTTTATTCTAACCAAGGGACAGACATGTATGCAAATACACGAACATGGAGATACCAATAAACCTTTTCCTTGCCCTTGTAGATTTTGTGTAGGGATAGCAGTGAAGGTAACAAAATTATTTTAGAACTCCTCTTTGGTAGACTCTTTAGGTTTCTGTTTTCCAGGCAGCAAGTAAAGCTCTTCTTAGTTTTAACTAAAGATATGTAGCTCTGATTTAAAATTATTTCCTCCAGAAATGGGAAAATTTGTGCTAGGAAATAATTTGTCCCCAAAGCACACACTGAAAAAGTTTACCTTTTCCACTCTTGCATATTTTTTAATGTCAATCTCCTTCCGACCATTTTCCTCAAACTGTACTGTCTTGACAGCATCCAGGGCAATGTTGCAAGCCAATGAAGACCATCGACTGATTGCTTTCGTTGTAATGGAGCTGTTGATGATGTTCAGCATCATATCACGGTTACTGACGTCAACAGGGGTACTAAAGAAAAGAAGGCCAGGTCATGTGCTCAGTGGCATCCTCGATACTTACCAACAACCCCCTGAGCTGTACCTTGGTGACTATATAATAATGGGCCAAGAGGCAGAATGGAGGGATATGT